TATTATATTCCATTTCTGACAATTGATCCTCCGAAATGTCACACACTGGACCTTTAAAGCAGAATTATCTCTTGACACTTGAAGAGGAACTACAATAATTATTCACAGCACTGTTGCAGAGCAGCAGTAATCTGCACGTGGGCCTAATAACTTTTTTCATGAGCAAGGACCACGCCACAACAGTGTGATATTTAAAGGTTTAATGCAACAAGGTAGTGTAGGATGAAGAGGGAGGTTAAACACGCTTCAACCAACTCACAAGGAAAAAGACCTGTGGGTGGTCTCAGAGCAGGGCAACCTTCTATCAGGAGAGACCCTTGAATCTTGACACACTTGGCACCAAACATTAATCATTCAATAAAGTTTGTTGCCGTATTGCGTGTTCTCCAGTACACTTCTAAAGTCTGTCCTGATGTTGATAATGCGTAAATGGATGTGTGTGGGAAATCTGATTCACAGGAGAAATGGGAGAGGTATGCACAGGATAAAATACAAGGGGATGAAAAGAAGGAAGAGAGGTTCGATGGATGCAAATAGGGATGGGCCAAGGAGGGGCAGGGTGAGAGGTAGAAGGACGAGGGTAAGGGAGTGGAGAGTGGGTCAAGAAAACTGAGACAAACAGAACAGGACAGGTTGACAGGGGATAAGTAGACTTGACAGGTGATTGTAGATGTGGCCCTTCTCCAGAAGTTAACTAATCAACTTCATTTGTGGTGTGCAGCAACAAGGTCAACCTACTCAGCAATTCCTGTTGGTTCTTCCCCAGGTCTCTTGAAGAAATGGAAATGGAGATTGTTCACAGACAAGCTGAAAAATAAAGCTGGACAAACAAAAACAAAGTATACTGGAATACTGTCAACAGTCTGGGATCTCTCTTGTGGGCATGTAGTCTTGCTTTATATTATAATCAACACACAGTCTCACTTGGAAATATCTTTGTTTTGTAGTACTTGTTGAAGCATTGTACCAATGACATTAAGTACTAATTTCTCATAACCTGCCCAGGTGCTATGGATGAAAATGTACTTATTAACCAACTCTGGCAGTGGGCGGCTGTGGTTCAGAGGTAGAACGGGTCCACCATTACCATTTATCATCATCAGTCATCACTTTAAGCTTTCAGCAAGTTATCTTCCAGAAATGCAGTTTGCTTTATAAAGTGTCTATATAGTGTTCATGTAAACAGAGATTTTCATTTATCAGGTTTAATTCAGTCATTAAACTCCTAAAGATCTGTTCAGATGTTCTCTGTGTTAAACATAAAAACAGCCAATAAAGATTTAAAAATAAGACGGTGTGGAGGCTATAGTGAGCCCTAACCCTAACCCTAAGTACTTATTAACCAACTCTGGCAGTGGGCGGCTGTGGTTCAGAGGTAGAACGGGTCGTCCACTAATCGGAAGGTTGGTGATTTGATCCCCGGCTCCCCGGCATGCTGAAGTGTCTTTGAGAAAGACACTGAACCCCAGATTGCTCCCAATGTTGTGCATTGGTGTATGAGTGTATATGAATGATAGGTTTCTGTTCTGGTGAGCCACTGCCGTCAGTGTGTGACAGCTCCCATTCTTGTTGCTGTTGGACTTCTGTTTGGACTGTCTACCCATGCTAGTAAGATTATTTACCTTCACCTTGCCAACAAATCCCTTAACTATTCCTGTGTTCCTGTACACAGTGATTGGCCAGATGTGCCAACATGTGAAAATAGGTTGGGTTTGAACATGTCTCCTAAAGTCTCTGTTCTCATTCTTTATTCAACTACTTGTGATCCAAACAGACGTAAACATTTCAGATGTGTATGACACTGTATGAACATCTCTGAAGGTTAAGGTTTCAAGCTTACCTAGCCTTAATGTTGCATTAGCGGATCCCTTGACCTCTAACCTCAAGATATCATATTTTTTCAAGGTACCCATGAGTCTCCCTTACAGATATGCCCACTTATTTTTTGGGGGACACCATGCAGTTTTTTGAATGTTGTATGATTGTGTCATTTTCTCTTTCTATATATATTTAAGGAGGAGATTCTATCAGTGTTTAATTCAATGCCTATAATAACTTTAGTCCCTCCCAAATTGATAATCTTGTTAATAGTGCTGCAGGCTCACTACGATCAACATTAGATTCTATCGCCCCTATAAAAAGGAAATTATTATATAGACTAGCACCGTGGTACGACCACCAAATCTGCCAATTAAAGCAAAAGGCGCGGAAATTTGAAAGGAAATGGCGCTAATCCTATTAGAATATCGCTCAATTTGGCAAGATAATCTTAAAACCTATAGAAAGGCCCTCCATAATGCCAGAGGAGCCAATTATTCAGCACTAATGGAAGAAAATAAGAACAACTAGGTTCCTCTTCAGCACTGTAGGCAGGCTGACAGAGAGTCACAGCTCTATTGAGCCATGTATCCCCATAAACTTAAGTAGCATGACTTTTAATGAACTTCTTTTATAATAAATTATTTACTATTAGAGAGAAAAATAATCACCAACTGCCATCCAACAGGTATCAACTGTCTCTCCAAGTTTAGGAACTGTAACTAATGTAAAATCTGATATTTATTTAGATTCTATTTATTATTCTGCTATCAATCAATTAATTTATAAATTAACTTTAATCATTTAAACATCTAAGCCATCAACCTGTCTATT